CATTCTACAATATTGATTATCTACATTTTTGTTTTTTATAAACATGTATTTAAAATTGCTTTAATATTATTAGTCAAAAACTATATTTTTTTTTAAATTATACATTTGAATATTTGTATATTTTAATGTAATAGTTAAATATTATTTTCTGAAAATGTACATTTAAAATATAATATATATTAGTTTTAATTCAAACTTTAACATTTACTATTTATTTATTTTTTATTTACAATAAATAACAAATAAATAAAACCGATTTTTTAAACTATTATAAATTTTATGTTGTGATATGTATAAAATATCAACATTATGTGATATGCAGTTGTATAAATGTTATTTAAAAATTCTAATTTAACTGTGCCTATATTCGAATGATGAATTATTATTATCTACTTGTGTCATAATTTATAATAATTAAAAAATTATTTTCATATGATAACAATATGAAACATTTGTAAATGGATCTCAAATAGTAATTAGCAGAAACGTCTTTACACAAAAATAAATTTTGGCAGAAACGAAAATCGTACCCTTTTTGTTTTTGGCAGAAAAGGGCTATGGCGGAAACGGAAAACTCCCAAAATACCAATTAAATCCAATTTTATTCTTAAAATCACCTCTACCATTTTAAAACTATAGATTCAATCATTTTTTTTTTTTTGTTCTTTAAAGTGTCGTCAAACAATTAAAAAAGAAACAACACTCGTTGCAGTGTCATACACCAAATACATTTATCTCGTCCGTCAAATTTTCGTAAGAGGTATTTTATTTGATTGCTATCGATTAGCGAAAAATCATAGAATACGTAGACTACCTATATGATTTATATGGCTAAAAACTCATAATGTGGGATATTAAATTGTATTTGGAATTCTACATTACTATCGTATTTTCAAATATAATGTCTCATTTGACAGCCTACAGTAATAATATAAAAAACAATAAGAAATATAAACGTTACGAAACCACCATTCACGGACTATGCACAAATCCAACGTATTAAATATCAACGACCATTGTATCAAAATAATATAATGCCTATGTAAGTTTTTATTCCAAAAAAAAAAGCATGAAATACAAAGTCTTTAAGTTCTCTGTAATCATTAAAACGGTCATCAATCCCACTCTGAATGTAGCAAAGAATAAAACACATAGCGAGTATGGTGTGCAATTTTCTTTTGTATGTTTCATCAAACATATATTTTAAATTCTTCGTCCAGTAAGTTTTAAAATAAATGAATAAATGTATGTTTTAATTCAATGTTTTTGATTAACAATAAAATTGCGTAAACATTGAAGTCGATATTTTTATAGTCTGTCAAAAAAGTGTACTGTACTACAATATTCACTAGGTCACATATGTAATTTTCATTCCTATAATATTGTTTTATTACATATTTTCTTAATGTGTTATGAAATTATATACATTAATTATGGAATACAGATTAAACATTTACTTTAAAAACGCATAATTGCCAAAAAAATTAAGATGAACATTATGTCCACATAAACATATAAGACATAACACACAGTTTACATACATAATGCCATAATGCACATCATTTATAGAGACAATTTTTAAATATTTTTAAGTTTATATAATTTCTATGTACTTGAATTTTATTTTAAATTTCATATAGCCAATTGGTACATTTTTTTTACGGTAATGCATTAACATAGTACATGGTGTACGTATACAATTTGTTCACTTGAAATATTATTGTTTTTTTTTTTTTTTTAGTTTGTTTACCTAGTGATATTAATGGGTAAAATTTAAAAGTACGTCATTAATAATCCATTATATATGAGAATAAAAAAATGAAATTTATGAAACGACCTTGGCGATTTTTCGGAACAACATTTTGCACTTTATTAATTCGCATAGGTACGGAAGTGGCAGTAATCATCAAAGAGTTGAAATTCCACAGAATTTAAATTAACAATAAAATGCCTACCATTTACTAACATTATAATAGACCTTATAGTTTTATTTTTTTTTAACTATTTTTCTTGTGGTTTTCCGATTTTTATTCCTTTTTTTTTTAAACTCATATATTGCCTATGGAACAATATGCCACCTCCTTTATGGTATAACCTTTATTTTCCTAGACCATTTATCATTGGTGCGACGGGCTTGAAATGAAAACGGTCCAAAAATAACGATACTCTTCTATTCTGACTCGCATGTAAATTTATATACATGATGTATGTAAAAGAAAAAAAAAAACATCTTAAGATTCAAGTTCTATAACAACAATCTAAGATTCAGCTGAATGTTTTTCAGTATAAACAAAATGTGTTAAATCGAGGTGTGGTGTAATGTCGGCTAAAATCCTTTTTTTTATGTTTATATATCGAAGAAAGAACTAATATTATACTTGTTAGCCAGCAAAAATTTGAAGCTGGTAGCCTTATAATACTTTTAACATCCAAATTCTCATACGATATAACAAATAAGTTACTTTGGTGTTTTAAATGCTCTAACGGATTTTGCTAACCAATATTACGTATAGTTTACAAGCAACTATTTTCTAATTTATGTTGTTAAAATAAAAAATTACGGTTCGAAGCTATTTTGGTATTTTTTTTATTTTTATATTTTTGAATTTTTTAAGATTCGATAAACAATCATGGCATGTTAGATAAAACAATTTTAACAATAAGATAGTCAGTAAATAAGTTGGTAAAAAAAAAGACACTATATTCACTATATTAGTATACCATTATATTTTATCAACAGCCTTAGATGTTTTAAAACAACTTATATTTAACAAATGTGGGGCGAAGATTTTTATTTTAACTATGTTTATTTAAAAATAGAAACATTTATTTCAATTTAATGTGAATATATCATAGAAAGGTATTCAGTGTCACGTTATTATCGTAATAATAACAATAAAAATAATAATAACATCATGGTATACTAATAAATGCACATATCACACAGATATTATACGTCAGACCCTCGTATATAATTTCTACACACCATTCAAACTTTTAATTTTTACTTTTTATGCGTATAATAATTAATTAGACGATTCTATACGATTCTATATTTTATAACGTCATTGCCGTAACAATGCGGGATAACAAGACAATTGATGGTGCGAAAAATCAATATATATATATGGATTACTATAGTGTTATATTGTGTTATACGAACCATTTTACATCATTATATATATAAACAGGGTGAAAACAGTATCACAAATCCATATGATTATCAAGATAATCGAAGATACAATTTCTATACAGTATAATATTCATTTATAATTAATTTTTTCAGTTATTTATTTTTTTTTTTTTTCATGATAACCTACGATACTAAAATAAAGTTGTACTTCGATTTTTTTTTCTAGGACGATTAGTAACTTATATATAACTTTTAAATCAGTATGTTGTGTGTATCTTTCTGAATCCTATATTTATTTATATATATGGTACCTATTATTATATATATTATTATATGCATTACCTGTACATATGTAGTGACAACCCGTATACAATTCCTGTGTAGTATGCTTATATTCCGACAAGTGAAAAAAAAAATATGTACCTACCATAATATTACATTAAATAATAATAAACAACGTTCCGTCATTTTCATTAACATAAAATTTAATAGTTTACCTATTTGTCGAATGTTACCGTTGTAACAACCTATCTACGTGAGTCCATATAAATTTAGCTGTGTACGACTACGTGAAGAGTATGTGTAAAGTTTATCAGTGTGAAAACTTTGGTCATGCGAACAGAACACGCATGACGGCGTGTCTGCAGAAAGTGAAATTAAATCATCGCCACACCTCGTTATAATATTATATTCGGCTCGAAAAATGAGTTTTTGGCGAAAATTCGTAAACTCATAGGTGTGTCTATAGCACTTAACCAAATTAAAATGCTTCGTGGGCTAACTCCGGCAGTGCATATATTGCTAGTTGATAGTGCATTACAACAGTGAAAAATAATAACAATCATAATGATAGTTGAAACAGTTTAATTAATACTAACATTTTGTAGTAAAAAATAAAAAGTAATTGACAAACTTAACAGCTGTAAATATAAAATGTTAAGTACATTTTTACAAGATTAGCAGTAGGTATTTACTAAAATCTTGTAAAAACTACTGTTTTATTTATTTTTTATTTTTTTTTTTAGTTATAGTTTACTGCATTAAAAACAAAAACCTGTTCAATTTATGAGTCCAATATCGTATTTCAAATTAAAGTATTAAGTTGGAAAAACTAAAAATTATTTTTGTGAGCTTGTTTTCGTGATCGGTCGTTCATGTATATATCTTATTCAATAAATACTATATAAGTATTATGCTCTCTGTCGTAGATGTTCACTTTAAATTTGAGTGAAATTCATACACAATTGATCATATAACTTAATTTGACATAGTCGTAAATGTTTAACGTAGGCGATCATTGTATAAACCTGACATCTGAGCTGTAAATATTTCAACATTATGTGCATTAGGTAAGTCACATTATGTTAATTTTTAATTATAAGGTAGATGAGTAAATATCATATCTGTGGTCAACTATTTTATACTTAATACGAGGAATACAAATATCAATGTTGTTCTACAATAGTCATATTGTAGTTAAAATAACTAGATGATTTCATAAAAAAAACACGGGGATTTCGGGAATACTCCAAAACTAGTTCACGGGAATTATTATTTTTTTTAAATCGATAAAATCAGTTATAATAATCGAGAAATAAATTAACAGTATAAAATCATAAAATATTTAAAGATTTGATTTAAGAATATAATTAATAGATAAAATCACATAAATATAACAACAATAAATACATTATTAAAAACAAAACATAAATCTTTTTGTTTAATTTTAAGTGACAAGCTTAGTAAATGTTATATATGGTGTAGTTAATATTATGCATGATAAACATAACAGTTGAGAAGGTAACTTGATATTAACTAGCTATAATATTTAATTTTTTTAGTGATAACGGTTATTGCAATTACTTACTCGGATCGAGTTGGTTCGTCATGCCTCCGCCGACCGATGCGTGACGACTGTGCCGTCTGTCTGAGGCCCATAAATCGGGAACTAAAAAAAAAAATAAATAAAAAATAAACCAAATAAACTCACAAGTCAAATGAAAATAATAACAATATGTTATATAATTTTATACGCGGAGAAGTTGTAAATAATATCGTGAAATATAAACTAGTAAATCGTCGTAAATACGAAGTTCGTGCAATAACGAATTTCTGGCTGCTCGTGATGTTTGACATTTAAAACTTGTCTCGAGTGTTTACAAACGTACACCAAAAATGTTATAATATTATACAACGCATCGAAAACTGATTATGTACATAAGTTCTACTATTGTGCTCCATCAATGTTTCATGTTTGGGTACTCAATTTACTCTATAAACGTTTTAGAAACGTAGTTGTGAACCATTCAAATGCTAACAATTACGAATTGATTTGAGTTTCACCATCGTCTTGTCAATAAGCAATTAAAACATTTATAATGACGTCTAATTGCATGAGTTGTCACAGTGTCACTTTGAACTGACCACCAGTGAACAAGTTTCAATTGACTTGTGCAATTATTTTCATCGTATTGATTTTAATACTTGCTATATGTATACATGTATTTAAATAATTTTGGAAAAATCTGTTGACATCTTGGAAAATAAAATTCGTTTGTCTTATAATTTATCTTTATTTTAATTGTGAATAATTTGAGACGCTAAAGTCGAGTAAAATTCAGTGTAAAGTTGTGTAATCGTGTAATGTTTTCAGTTTAAAAAATAGTCTATTTATAGTTATTATTTTTGATATTTTAAATTATTTTTAGTATATTACTAATATACAGCTAATATTATTTTATACACACTACTCGGCGTTTTGTTTAGGCAATATAAATTACATAAATAAGTGTGTGAGTGGATTTTAAATGTGATAAGTGTATTTTACGTTGATTAAAAGCGTGTGTTTTAAAAATAGTTTGAAAAGCTATACCTTTAAAATATTATAATCGAAATAAATTGTACAACCGTACAATGTGCTCAAATTATGTGAGTATACTTATGTTTTAAACCTCTATGCATAATAAATATCGCAGGGTGTGTATAATAGTCAATAATTAAGACAAACAAATCCATATTCAACTTCTTAATACAAACCGCACTTTATCTCATTAGAGTACTAATGAGATTAGTACTTATAAATTATGAGTATTATGAATTGTTTTGAAATTATCATGGAAAATGAAAATACTAAATGTAAATAATTCTACATTATATCAATTTAAGATTGAGTTACCCCGTGTATTATAGTTTTTGATTTATATTCTATGTACAAATTATTGTGATGAAATTGGCCGATTAAACAAAATAATGTAATGTACATAAAATAAATAATCTGTTTTATTAATGTTGTATATTTTAACTTAATATGTAATTTTTAGGTATTAGAGGCAAATATTTTTATTTGAGAGATATTACACAATATTCAATACATTTTTAAAATGTTTGGTCATAAATTATTTTTACGAGCACTTAAAATTTAAAAACAAAATTACTCTACACATTGTAGCAGATAAAACTTTGTTCAGACTTGTTTTTTGAGTGGTTGGTTCTATCATTATTTCGAAATGTATTACAATAATACTGTATTGTATTATTCATAGACGAATAATAAGAAAAACTAATTCCTGCCGTACAGATTATGAATCTCCAAATCATAATTTGATTATTTAAGTATCTTAGTATCTTAGTATAAAGTTAGTCAATATGGTAAAATATCTAAAAAGTTATAACTTATAACACACAAACCTCACATTTAGTCTTTGTCAAATAATGATACTTAATAGGTCCATCGAAGAATCGGTGTATAAATGCACATATTGTACGAATACAATATTATTATATCATATATTTACATTAACATAATATACTTTATAATCAATTTTTTATCATTAAAAAAAATGTTATACCTTTCATAATAACATTATTTAATAAAAGTTTGTTTATAGAAAATACAATTATAGGATCCTGTAAAATGTAACCTTATTGTATAGGTACTCTAATGTATATATAAATGTACAAGTCTTTTTACTCGTGTAACCGTAACAAAAGAGACATAACATTATGACAATAATATATATCATATTTTTCTTTTTTTTCACTAAAAGTTTCTCCTACAATACGTGCATTAAGTGTAAAAGAATGTTGTTATGGTTTTATGTTTGTACACTTTTATTTTAAATTGTTAATACAAAATTAATGATTAAGCTTTTAAAATGTGTGGCCTAGTGAAAAGTTTAATTATGTTATACTAAAGTATGAAGGTGAATTATAAACGAAACGTATACAACAATTAATCATTTCAAAAAGATTAATTTAAATATTAAATAAATCAATAATAAAGAACTGTTTAAACACTTATATATATAAAATATAATATGAATTATTATGGTTTTCATAAATTATAAATTCAGTGTCCGTAAAATAATTTACACCTAACTACATTTCATAAACACTACAATAATATAATTTTGGCATTCATGAAATGCAATTTAAATTGTGTATACACTATAAATATCCAATAAAATAATCGTTTAGTTAATGCGTTTACAGTCAAACATTACTCAACAACATTTATTTCTCGTGTTTAATCCATTTCGATCAGGTCACATCAGTCATCATCAGAGTGCGTGTTAATGCGTGTAGATAATATAATGTCTGCATGAATATAATTTTAGGCAATATTTACCAGCATAAACTGTTTAAAAATTATTTAAATGGCAAATACGTAAATTATTATAAGTCATGGAGGTCAAATTATTTATATCACTATATTGAAGATCAAACATATTATTGTGAAAAATAAAAAAATTCATTATAATTCATTAACCTTTTAATATTATAAAGTAGTATTTTTTCAATTGTTTATCTTTCAAAAACTATTACTTTTGAAAATGACTTAGTATTATAAATTCTAGATCTAATTATCCAATATTACATTTGATTTTTTTTTTTTGTAAAATTATTTTTAAACTGAAAAACTGCTCATTCAAATTTTGAATTAAATACACTAAATTTTCAATAAAAAAAAAAAAAAAAAAAAAAATGCTTATCTTCTAAATGTTTTATAATAAGAAAAAGAAGTATAATTTCATAAACAGAAGCTTTTATACCTTTAAAGTAAGACATTCCTTACCTTAAAGGTATAAAAAAAATACTAAGAATTTTAAAATATAATCATTAGATATATATAAAAATTCCGATTAAATTAAATTTATTATTAAACGAAAAATAAGGATGAGCATATTTGGCGAATCAATATACGTATTGTATACTGGTGATTGAGTTATGTAACTCGATTTTCTTATACCTTAGACTACCTTTAACTGCACTAGTTATAATAGTTGATAACCACCTGTGCTATCATTGATCTAGTCATGTCTGTGTAGTTCTATCTGTTTGTATAAGTACATTCAACCCATAGATATATTGCAGGTTATTATCTTTATATTATACAGGAGAGTTATTCGTTCTTGACAAGGTATTATCGTAAAAAAAAAATAAAATAATGTTCTTTGATTGAGAATTATAACCAACAATATACAATAACATATACCAATAATATGTTCATAGCACCACAATTGATGTAACATAAATTATTATACTCGTATTTTATTATTACACGATAATATATAAATGCACCCATAAATCTCCTGATAGTTTGATTGTTATTAAAACAAGCATAAGCAATATGTGTTATATATTATATGATAATAATATATATTGAACATTTCATCTGCAGAACTGCTTCCGAATTAAATTTAAATTTCTAATCCATTTGTTTAGAGTCCAACAAATACTAACAAGCGAATAGTATTATTAAATCTATAATGTACTATATAACATCAAAATTATTGATTTAATTGATAGCCAATGGGCGTATTATTTAATGCAGTGGACTAACATGTTTTAGAAGCGTAAATGTGCGATACAAGTAAGAGATTTATTACTAAATTTAAATAGATAATAATATGTGTTTAGTACATTATTACTTAATAATAATACAAAATTAAAATTTAATAATAAAAATAAAAAATCCATATCAAAAATTGTGAATATATTTTAATACATTCGACTTAAATATTGTAAAAAGTTAAGCATTTAATATCAAATATTATTCATTTTTTTTTTTCAAAAACTACTTCAAACTTTTATAGAATCTCGTTATTTTTGCTTCAAATATCTAGATACATTTGCATAAGAATTGAATGATTGAATATATTTATACACCATACAGACCACACAGTTTATGTATTTTTCATATATATAAAGATAATTTTTCGTAACTTTAGGGTTTTACTAGACACGTTGATGTATATTTATTTATACATAATATATGTAAATCAATCATCTAAATTATGAATATATGAAAAACTTTTATGGAATCAAAATTTAAATACATTTTTCTAATATGATAATACGACGAAGTTTTTTATATAACTGTAATAAATAGATCGTTCTTATAACTAAAATACATTCAAAATCAGTAAAATTGTATTTAAATTATGACTGTATAATCATTTACGTGGTACAAGATAACTGGTACAGAGGCGCCATTCGGGATGTAGTAAAGTATACACCTTGACACTCCTATATTTTTTTCTAAATCTCATTATCCTGCTATGCAATTTTCAAACATATCAATGGTTTCAGTTTAACAACAGCTAATTCCGACTTCCAATTTTCCAATTTTTTAATTCATTAAAATACTAAATAGATTACTCATTAATCTTATACATTCGTTATACATAAATAAAATCCATGACGAAGTAAAATTGGACTAATAATTTAAAAAAACGAGCCTACTAAAATGTTGGCACCCTTATTAAAAAAAACTCAAATGGTGCTACTTATCTGATAAGTAGGTGCCTGAAAGTTATGTATAAAAAATGGTAGCCAAAATAAAAATATTAATGAATTAAACTTGTATGACTTTAAGAGGTGCATTTTTTTAATGGTAACCTCTTGATATATTTCCAAGTTGTATCAATTTCGAATTGTATTATACAA